TGGTTATTTATTATACAAGGGGAAAAAAGTAGTAAATTTTAGCTTTGAGCTAAAAATCTAATATTTTTCCCGTGTATAATACCCTTTTTTTTCTGTGACAGAAGTAAGGAAGAATCAATATTGAGAAGATATTACATTATTTTGAAATCTGAAAATTATCGACGTGAAATTTTAAGTTATTAACGTTTTGCGAATTTAGTGGTTGTTTAGTAATATAGGTAGGTACGTAACCGCGAAGTCGAATGGAAGATAAAAGGACTTGCAGTTCTTTCTCGGAGACGGTATTATTGACTCATTTTTGGGAACTATAGCACAACAAAAGCCATCAACAGTGTATATATACAGTGTGATGCAAATGTATGAAATAAATTCATTATTTCAGAAATGGGCGACATTTGAAAAAATTCCAAAAACACGTGAGTTTTAATTTCTGAAGCCTCATCTCATGATATTCATATGAGAGATGTTACGTCACCGGTGTTGGAGTAAAGACGTAATGGACGATTTTTCCAAATACAAATAGGGGTCATGTGACACCTTGATTGAAATGTCTACCGATCGTCTATTCAACAGTCAAAATGTTGCATAAGAAGATTGAAATTAAAATGGATTATCATGTGATTAATTGAATCTTGCAGAGGTCTGCTGAGAATTGAACATCGAAGGGTCGTCTAGTTAAAAAAATACGTCGAAAAAAAAGTTCTAAACTCTGGTTTTTGTTTTTTTTTCGAAAGTCGTCTTGTTTTGAAATGAATTTATTCCATACATTTGCATCATACTGTATATGTGATATATATCCGGGAGAAAAGTTCTCACTTTTTTCCCACGGGAAAAAAGTAATTTATGAAAAGTGACATTTTATAACTTGCCAACAGAGATGAAATGAACTTTTTTCCCGTCACAGAAAAAAAAATTATATCATATGGCGCTTCTATGCTTTCTTATAGACAGTTGTAATATGCATGGATAGTGAGTGCGAAGAACCTCGCAGCAACCAGACATTTCACTCACTGGTAATTATTGTGCTTGAAATTTATGAACTCCTAACTGTTCCATCGGAGTGACTGCATCAGTATACCTTCATCTGGCAAACAATACACCTTCATCAAAATCGTTATCGCTGCCACAGGATTTCAATGTGCTGCTTCTTTTCGAACATGAATGGTGGCAGCAAGAAATATTCGAGCAAATAATGTATTAACACCACAACTCTCTTCAATGCACCATTTCCAATCTGAAAGCCCTTCTCTTGTTGCAGCCTCCACCGGCCACCACATCAAGCTGGACTTGTGTGACCTATTTATAATGCGCATTCCATTTTCCATATGAACATGACATTTTATGGACACGTGATTAATATGAAGAAGGTACTTGATCTTTGTAATCATCCAAAGAACGTAAAACAGTATCAGCCGTATGAAATGGGGGTTGAATACAACCGAGTACGAAGTTTATTCAGGGGTAGTAAAATTCTTGCAAATGTGGTGTAGTGGATAACCATTGTTGAAGCCTATTTGTTCGATAATGTTGTGCTCCTTATCAAAGTCTGGGGAGTTCATAGGGATAGTAAACTATCTATGGAAGGGTGAGGTGGAAGCAGCCAACTTGTGTGATATAGGATGACATGAATTAAAAGGGATGACTGAGAGTCAGTGTGTGTCGGTTTGCGGTAGGTATATTGAGATACTAAAATGACCATCATCTATGTCAATAAGTAAATCTAGGAACGGAAGAGAATTATTGATTGCAATTTCCATAGTGAACTAGATAGCAAGGTGTGAAGTATTCAAACACTGAGGAGAATTTCTGTTAACCATATTCAAAATTCGAATTACCCCAGCAAAAAACTCTAATAGCATATGGGACAAACGAGTTATTACCTGTGATTATGGAGTTGACTTTGCTGATTATAACTCACCTGTGATTATCAGATATAGAAACCTTGCTGCCACCAGCGAGTGCATCTGTATATATTGCCATTAGACGACACTTTATCCTCATCTACTATATCCGCGATATCATTTCCACGACATTATATTCACGACAAATAAATATGCAATTGAATGAAATTTAAAATCAATATTAAAATTTGTGATTCAATAAATACAATAACAATAATGACCGCTACAACCCGTGCCGGGTTTTGACACTTGACCACTTACTCTAATCCTAACTCAATTATGACACAAAAAACATAGATGTTCCTCGATACAGTGAACTTTTATCACTGATAGATAGAACATGATAATGTTTGATGCTAAATGAATACCATGATTATCGAGATGATGATGAACCTAGAACCTCAAAACTAAAAGATTGCACAGAAATTTCGTGAATCGATGTTTCAGCTTGCCTAGCCTTATCAGTTAAAAAAGGCAAGCTGACGATAGATTCACGAAGGTTACTACTATACATAATAAAGATGGTACAAATCAAAGCCCGCAACGGGCAGAAGGGTAACCCAGCCATCAGGATCATCTATGTAGTGACAAAAATTCAATAAATATCAATTGATTCACCCTCAGGAAGAATGGAAAGTTTTTGAGTAATTGATGAAAACAAATATTTTCTGAAAACTTCTGAAACCAATGTATTTCGATAACTGGGCAAGTTATTATAGATGCGTACAGGAAACAACTGACACCCGTAAAATCATTCGAATAATTTCATGACCTGGACATGTTAGCTCACAATAAGTTTTTAGATCACATTCTATGGAGGAAACTCTGGAACCAATTTGCTAATTCCAAAGTTTAATTGGATCAGAAAGTTTGAAATGTTGAATTGAAAATATTAATATTTCAGCCAAAATACCTTGAATAAACTCTTCTTTATCATTTGATGAAGCCTGGTAATAACTAAGGCACTCAGATCTACGGAAGCCCTGGAAGGGACACAGGAGATTATTTAATTTCTTCAAAAACACCCTGAAACACCCTGTATATTCTGATTTTAAACAATGATATATGCGAGAATCCTCCCTGGTTCTCCATGCATTCAGGCAAGTTTTCAAGGTTTAGGTGTTCTCAGTGATGCCCAAACGTTATATTTTTTCCATAGCATATCCTGAAATTGAATTGACTATTCTGAAATACCATTGACGATATCTGATATACAAGTGATTATTCTGGAATTCAATTGACGCTTTCTGAAATACAAGTGATGCTTTCTGAAATACAAGTGACTATTCTGAAATACAATTGATGATGTCTGGAATACAAGTGACTATTCTGAAATTCAAATAATGCTTTCTGAAATTTGATTGACTATTCTGAAATACAATTGATGCTTCCTGAAATACAAGTGACAATTCTGAAATATCAATGATGCTTTCTGAAATACAAGTGACTATTCTGAAATACAATTGATGCTTTCTGAAATATAAGTGACTATTTTGAAATGCAATTCATGCTTTCTGAAATACAAGTGCATAATTTACAAATTTAATTGATGCTTCCTGAAATTCAATTGACTATGTAGTCTGAAATACAATTGATGCTTCCTGAAATACAAGTGACCATTCTGAAATTCAATTGACGCTTCTTGAAATTCAACTGGAAAAGGTCTACACCTTTTCCAGATGTATTTCAGAAAGCGTCAATTCAATTTCAGAATAGTCACTTTTATTTCAGAAAGCGTCAATTGTATTTCAGAATAGTCAATTCAATTTCAGAAAGCGTCAAATGTATTTCAGATTAGTCACTTGCATTTCAGAAAGCATCAATTGTATTTCAGAATAGTCAATTGAATTTCAGAAAGTGTCAATTGTATTTCAGAAAGTATCATTTGAATTTCAGAAAGCGTCAATTGAATTTCAGAAAGCATCAATTGTATTTCAGAATAGGCAATTGAATTTGAGAAATCGTTCTCTATAGACTGAAAGCCAACGACCAGACATCATTTCAACAAGGTTGATATTTTCTATGTGTGTTATATCTTATTCGGTGGAATCGTTTTGGGGGTTAACAATCTTTAGCACTGGATGGGCTTTCAAGAGATACCGGGTGTTGAAAGTACGAAAAAAAAAATTGGCAAAAACATCATTTCAACAAAAGCTGATCTTTTTATGTTCAGTCGGATCCTATCATGAGAGAGAATATACAATTGCCAGGCACTTTCCACGGGGTGTTCTCCTGCCAGACAACTTTATAAATCGTGAAAATATCATGACATTCACGTCATAGCAACAGACCTTGATTTTGTAAATGTTATTAAGAAGCCTATTTTACAGTATCAAACAGCCATCAGTCACTTCCTATTGGACAAACATGTAAAAATCAGAACTTTTTCATAGACATACAAATAAGTGTATCTATGATAGTCCCCTATACCTGAAATCCTGTGATCTGTTCATGAAATAGTATACAGGTACCTAAAGGTACATAAAAAAAATTTTGGGTGATTAAATTGAAAACATCACTACAGGAAGCACTGAACATTCTATGCATTCTTACATGGAGTGCACTTACTACTAACTAATCGATCTTGATGCTTTCTGAAATTCAATTGACGCTTTCTGGAATTCAGATGATATTTTCTGAAATACAAATGACGCTATCTGTAATTCAATTGACTAATCTGAAATACAATTGACGCTTTGTGAAATACATGTTACTATTCTGAAATACAATTGCCCTTTTCTGAAATTAAATTGACAATTCTGAAATTCATATGATGCTTTCTGAAATTGAATTGACTATTCTGAAATACAATTGACGCTGTCTGAAATACAATTGACTATTCTGAAATACAATTGCCCTTTTCTGAAATTAAATTGACAATTCTGAAATACATATGATGCTTTCTGAAATTGAATTGACTATTCTGAAATACAATTGACGCTGTCTGAAATACAAGTGACTATTCTGAAATACAATTGACGCTTTCTGAAATTGAATTGACGGTTTCTGAAATACAACTGGAAAAGGTGTAGTTCAATGAATACCTAATAGTCGTTTTTATCTATGTTCAATCTGAAAGCCTTTCTTATCTCTTTGCAGCTCCCACCGGCCACCTCATCAAGCTGGACTTCCGCGACTGGTTCGAGATCGAGCAGAGCCCCGACTGCAAGAACGACTTCCTCGAAGTGCGCGACGGTGCGCACGGCTTCAACAGCCTGCTGCACCGGCCCTTCTGCGGGATCAACAGCTTCCCGCCCATGATGACGAGCAGCGACAGGCACCTGTGGATCCACTTCAAGAGCGACGAGAACATCGAGTACAGGGGCTTCAAGGCGGTGTTCGAGTTCATCCCGAGGCCTTCGAGTCGTGAGTACAGGGTGATTCACCATAAATGTCCCCTCCTCTAGCTCACTTATTTTTGAACCGATTTAAAAATTTGAAATTTTTTTCCCGTTGCATCAGAAAATACAGGGTGGGAACACATACAAATGAAAAATTTCGATACCTCAAGTAGGAGGGTTATGTGAGCGCACCTCAGAGGTGCAGCAACCTTGAACGTGGGCGGCCTTGAACGTGTGTGGTCTTGGGCATGTGACTGCACCGCACCGTCGCCGCAGTGACGTCAGTGACCTTGGACGTGGGTGGTCTTGTGCGTGTGACGACACGGCCTTCGAAGGGCTCTGCTGGAGACAGCTGCTAGACCGTTTGTATCGACCCGGACCGTGAGTGGTCTTGGGGGTGCGACGAAGCGGGCATCGCATGGTATTCACCGTAGTACGTACCGCTTTCGATGTTCAAACACCAGTTGCTGTTCAAGGACGTTGTTGTTAGAAGTTTCTTTCGGTTCGATGAATGCTGGAATATATCTTATACCTACGAATGTTTATGGCATTCACCGCACCGCTTCTTTTTTGGACCTCTGTAAGTTTCTAGAACGTACCTACGTAGGACGATGCATACAATTTTACCTTCCTAATCAATACGCTTGGATATGCTATTTACTATACGCAACGTTTTGTCTATCTTCACACTCTTGACCCGCTATTGAATTCTTACTGTTTCCGCTGTAGGAAAGTTACTTTCAACATTTTTTTGGAATTCTTACGAATAGCAAATCAAGTCTATGATTGAAATTACATTAACCGCTTACAATAGCTGGCTTAACAAGCTGATATATGAATATGAAATCAATTATTTGTCGCCTTGGATATCATGTGGCATTGGTTGCGGCCTTGAAAGTCTGTGTGTATGAACATATTTGTTCAAGGTCGTTGTCATAGAATCTTTTCTTGTCTATGATATTCCCTTCACCACGATTCTCTACAATATAACCAGATGGATCCTAGATTTGAGAACACAAAATAGAAGCGACTCGTTTGGTGAAAATATAAGTATTAAAATGATGTTGAACAAGTTTCTCGTGAGAAAGTGAAGTGTGCTGTGTAAGTTGAAATGTTTTTATATATTTATCATACCTCTCTTTCGCTGTGCAGTTAACGATAATTTGAAGAAATACGTCTGAAGTACGTGGAATTGATATAGAATCCATCAATAAGATGATCGATCGCGATGCTGATATCATTCAACAAATATCGATTTCAACTCTGATCGTGGGGCATCCCTACGTAATTGAAAGAATATGTTGTTGCGTAACTAGATTCGGAAGAGGGGTTTATACATTATCATGCGATGAACGTGACGGCGCTACTTTCAAATGTTGGCTTCCAAAACTTGTCTCAGATAATTTGAGCGAAGGTGATATTGAAGCTATGAATTCAGCCAATGGGGGATATAGCCTGACATACACAGGTCAGAATAAACCAGCATATGCAGGGGCAAAATCGAGGTCTCTAATAAGATTCGATAGACGATAATAATCTCCTCAATATCTTAGATATATTAAATAAGTATAGTTATACGAAAGGGTGGATGAAAAATATTTAGAAATAGTTACTTACATATCACATACTAGTAATCTCTGACTATATAATAATCATTATTATTGTAAGTATAAAGTTAACCTACCATATAAGAAGTGTATGTTAATGTCGTATATTTGTTTCAGATACCAGACTTTCAAGCCTCCCCTGAACACAATGTGGATGCACTTTTCAAGCCAGGGATGGGATAAAGCAGAAGATATCGATTCTGGAATAAGGAGGCTTTCATGTGAATTCCGCGATCTAAGAATGGATGCTTTACATGCAACTAATTATGATATGAACGTGTGTTTTGATCCCGTGGAGATTCGAAGACTCTCCGATCTAGCTGATCAATATAGAATTTCGGTTTGGATATGGAAGTTTGAGCTTAGATGTGTTTTGTCAAGATATGGTGGAAGCTGAATTGGAAGGGTTCTTGTATGAAATATTCGATTTCCTTCCTGGCAGCATATAAGCAAATATAACCTTCATCGAGAATCTGAGGAAGAAGATGATGCTGATGATGGCGAGGGTGACAGAGGTTTAGACGAAGTCGGGGATATCAGAACTTAGTAATTGAATATGTCTCTCTTAATGTAATTATATACGGCCTATACTGTATCGCTATTAGGTAGTTAATTTTCTCAATAAATGTTCGATATAATCATATGCTATTTTATTATTCTAAGTAAGTCGTTCACAACGAAATGGTGGAAGAAGATGTTGATGGAACGATGTATAAAAATAAATATTGATTTGCTGATAGAGCTGTAGATAAAGTAATAGATGCAAATATTCAGCGAATTGTATATTTTTTAATGCAATCAGTAACCTATACACTGATAATATTGGATAGATGATATTCATGCATGAATAATTTTATTATTACTATAAGTAGGCACGTAATTATCATTACAGAGCAAGTAAATAGGTATGATATATTCCGAGGAGTTCTTGTTAGAATCGACACATACAAAGTGCTCTTCATAGGTCAGATATGCATCATGAATAACTAATGCATAGACTCTGGTATTGTTACGGAGATATATCTCTACTTGAGTCGTTATCAAGTCACGATGACTAACACCTGTGAAGGATTGTCACTCGAATTTTGCAACACCTATATACTCTGAGGAATCGTTACAGGAATTGCGACCAAGAAGTGGTTTCTGAATCGAACTATCTGTTGACAATTTTTCCAGATCAATTTGAATATTATAGCTGATTGGACATCGCCGACATCTACAGAAGCATTGAAGGTTGGAATTAGATGTTTTATCTGTTGAATACCGCCACGAACTAACTTGGAACCACCCTGGAATCGGTCTGAACAACCCTGGAATCAGTCGGAACAACCCTGGAACCAGTCGGAACCACCCTGGAACCAGTCGGAACCACCCTGGAACCAGTCGGAACCATCCTGGAACAAGTCTGAACCACCTTGGAACCAGTCGGAACCACCCTGGAACCAGTCGGAACCACTCTGGAACCAGTTGAAACCACCCTGGAACCAGTCGGAACCACCCTGGAACCAGTTGAAACCACCCTGGAACCAGTCGGAACCACCCTGGAACCAGTCGGAACCACCCTGGAACCAGTCGGAACCACCCTGGAACCAGTCGGAATCACCCTGGAACCAGTCGGAACCACCCTGGAACCAGTCGGAACCACCCTAGAACCAGTCGGAACCACCATGGAACCAGTCGGAACCACCCTAGAACCAGTCGAAACCACCATGGAACCAGTCAGAACCACCCTGGAATCCCCCTGGAACCACCCTGGAACCAGTCAGAACCAGCCTGGAACCAGGTGAAGACATCTGAAATCATAAGAAACCAAGACTAGGAAGTGCTTTCTGAAACACAGTCATCAACAAACACAAATCCCAATCCCACAACTAGGTACACGTCGGGAAAATCCGTTTTCAATAGTCGCAACTCATAAAGTCATCCTTTGAATGGATCACCGTCAAAACCTTCGAGCAAATATGTAATCAGACCGAACATATTTCTACTTTGACTATTTTGAAGAGCTCCGTTGAAAACAAATTTGCTCTGTATCCAGGTAGAAAAACATAATATCATGTTGACGACAACTATTTCGAGGATCGAATCTGAGGGTTTTATTTGAATATATAAGTTTTTTTGATAGGTTTATCATAATTTCTGCTTTTACACTCTAATGATCTGGTACCTGCACTAGGAATCTAATGAAATGGGATAAATGGGATAAAGGCGGTTTTTACTATCTATCAACTAAAATACAAGATGACCTCTATGGAATCGACGGGTCAATATAATTCCATCTTGTTTTCTGGAATCTGCAATTATTCCTTCTCTTCGTAGAATGTCTATGATTGAAAGAATCTCGGTATTGTAGTATGATGTGCGTAAGTACCCAATTTGCCGCAATCTTTGCACCCACTTTTTGGGGTTCACCATATCACCATGAACAACTATTGAATCATTGTCGTTATAACCGTTGTTACCGACATCACTTACATCATTGAAAGCACTGTCAACATAGTTATCGCCACCATAGGCACTGTTGTTGTCTTCGGATCTTGATAAATACTGAGTGGTTCTATCGGGGCTTGTAGAGTAGTTGTTAGTTTGCATATTAGGCAAATTTTCAACATCTAATCTTGACTGAACCTCCGATTCATTGTTTCCAGACAGTGCTTCATAACTGATCAGTTTCTCCTCTGCTTGCCCCATGATTATCTGATCAATGTTTCCTGGGCGTTCATGTTCAACCTCAGCACATGTGTTCGACTCGCTTCGAATTGATTTTCGATAAATCTCAACAGCCTTCGAATCTTTTTCTTTCTGCTCTTCAACTATATGTTTCATCATGTTGTATACTCTTGTGAATGTCTTAGTACAAATTTCACAATTGAAGTTTTTTCGTTATGTTTGTTCATATGACGATTCACACTCTTAAGCCATTTGAATGCGTACCCACAAACTAAACATTGAAACATCTTTGGACTCCTTCGGCACACCAGAATTTTTCGAAATGAGACGGGGAGGGGGGTGTAAAAATAGTCGAAATTGACCGCCGATGAGATACGAATGATGCCACTCACCGGAAGCAGAGGAATATTCTCAGATATATTATGAACAAGTTGGAACTATTTGAGGGTGATGATGTGTTTTGGGATTTGATGATACAAAAAATAGATGGATTGATTCTACCAATAAATTATAATGTGATTATATGGAAAATCAGCACAAATTTGATGGTTGTGGGGGGCATTTCATCGATCGTTAGCAAATAACAACCATTCCAATCGGCCGGATATTATGTACCCTCAGCAATGGAGACATACAATGAAAATCATTTCAATTCAGCTTCAACCATATCTTGACAAAACACCTCTAAGCTCAAACTTACATATCCAAACCGATGAATAAAAACATCCATTCACAGCTTTTCAATACT